TTGAAATTTTTGACATAAGTAAAGTTATAAACCGTTGTAATACATGGTTCTAGTTTCAACTGTCTTTACAAGCACGAATGATGTTGTACCTGAAACCAGCAACAATTACTAAACCTCTAAATATTTTTTCATGATGACTTCAGGTTAGAAAGCTTTATGTATCTTCTGTAAAAGGTTCAACTAATGTGATGACATATATCCATCTTTCATTTGCAAGACGACTTACAAAAACTCATACTATTTTCCAAGTTGTGCTTTTCGATTAATTTTACTACCTGAGTCCTGTCTTCTACTTGCATTTGCACATGTATTAAAATTAGGTAACATACTGTTTCTGGCAAAGTTTGAGAAGAAGCTATAGTGGTTCCCTGCATTTCTAAATTTTCTTCTCATGTAATTTCATTTATTTTACGAAACAGGCAAAAAATTTCGTAAGTTAAAATTTTTTGTTGGTCAAAGATTTACATGACAGGCATTGGTAAATGGAAATATTTCAACAATTCCGATATTTACTAGATTGGCATAAGAACAGATCAATTACAGCAAAGCAGGCAAGCAGAAGGCAAATAGTCATATTCCAGGTTTCTTAAATTTTCCTTCCCTAACTCATTATGGCTTAGCCAATGTTCAATATATGTTATTTATAAACTGTAATATGAACTTTCCGTTATATTAAAGTATAGGTTTGGAGTTTTGTGATGTATTTTAGTTGTGCAGGCATTACGTTATATCGATAAATGAGAGGCGAAAAATGTGTAATTCTCTCGCCGCGTTTCGAACTCCGGAACTCCCAAATATGCATCGAGGGTGCTCCCAGTTACACCACCACGAAGGTATGCGGAAGGAACGGATAAACACATAATCTGCCTTTTAAAGGACACATAATACGCATTTTAAAGGACATTTGGGGGTGAAGGAACCCAGTCTTTAAGTCCTGGTGCTGTCGAACTAATCTATTGCGTTCGGGCACCACTGTAGTGTCCTTTATATGCCCTCGCCAGGATTCGAAATTGTGAGCTCCCGAATACCCATCGGGCGGTCTTCCCGTTACACTATGAAAGCACGTGGGAAAGAGGGCGAAAATATCTAATCTAGCTATGCAGTTTTCTTAAAGTTCTTGCAGTTTTTATTTATTTTAAAAATATCATGAATTATTTTCTTTGAAATTGCAAAGCACTTGACTTTTCGCTATTCTAATTTAACTATAATTTTCATAGTCAGCATTTTAGATCTGTCATGTTCTCCAAGTTTATTTACAGTAACATTTTCTAGGTGATAATAATTGTATCACTGAAAATCTTTACCAACTCAAAGTTTATTCGATTATTTTTGTTAAGTTCCAATCACGTTCCATTGTGCTAAATAATTAGCTAATTCCTTTCAAACAAGAAGCAATCTCTGTATATACAGATATGGAGAGAACGAAGAGACTAAATATTTTAGTTAATTATATTATTTTAAGTAAAATGGAGATAATACTAAACTCTTGAGTAATTTTTAATCATTAAAATAAGCAATAATCAGATAATTTTTATTTAAATGTCCACCAAATATTTAAAGAATGGCAATAATGATGTATCAACTTTTGCCAAAAATAAATTTTTATATCCACTTAATTTACTAAAGTGAAGTATTTTTACGAGTAAGGCACGTCAGCTCTTGATATAAAGTATTAAATGAGTTAAGCACATTTTTCCGATAATTTTATTTTTCTCTATTCTGCACGTATTGATTAATGGAAAATTACTTCGAGCTTGTAAATCATATTGATTACCAATAATGCTGACATAATCTAATCGTCTTTGTTGCCGCATTCTAATAAGTAATCATAATGAACCTTTGACACAAAACCCCGTGATATATCTGTATAATATGTAAAATAGTAGTTTTTCATTTCTCAGATCCGGATATTTTAAGTTATTTACCACGAATATAAATCCGTTTTATACTAGAAAGTAACCAATTTTATCAAAAAATGTATTTAACGATTTACACCAATTACTTCTGAACTTAAAATACTTTAAAATCAGCGTTTTCTTGCACGTTGTATTTTGACAATCCTCTGCAAGACCATACTAGGCATGCTATATTATTGAGTTTAAAATGAAGATTTTTTTTTCATAATTTTTATCATAAGTTAAAAAATCTGTTGTGTACACCACATGACTTCCTTGTACGGAATATTAAATTATACGCATTTTTTCTTGCATTTCATTTAAACTTATTGGATTGAATTAAATCTACTTCTCCGAAAGCGCATAAACCAAAATAGAATAAATGCATTCTTTAAAATTCACTCTAGTATTTGTTACCATAGCAACACTCTGGCGCTAGATTCGCTTAACAGTATTATATTTCGTTCCTATTATAACTCATAATGCACAAAATTGATATCATTTAAAGAATAGAATTATCTAATCGTTGCCACATGTTCTATTCAAATACTATAATAAACCTAGAATGATGTATAAAAGAAATTAAGCAAATAAAACATAAAAGAAACAGTTTTTCACAGACGATTGAGTATTTCTCATTCAATTAATTCAGTTCTCACTTCGCGAGAAGGCAAAAATACATAAAAACTCAAAATATCTGTATTGAAAATTACGAAGTAAATCTTAAACACTTATTTCCTCGAAAAAATTCCAGAAAGGATTAAGCATGATTTAATTGGCAATAATAAAGGAAGGCGTTATCTTTATTGTTGCGAAGCTAAGTTTCTCTAGATTGGCATCAAATCCACTATTCTGCTCTTTCAAATGTAAAAAAGCAATGGCCGCCATCAAAAAAATTATTACGTTTAGCGGCACTTAAATAACTTTAAATTGTTGATAATTCTAAAAATATTGCACACAGATTTACTAAAGGCATAAAAACCTTAACCGGAAGCTAAAAACAACATAATTCATTCATTTTTAAAGCAAAAAATGTACAATTTACAAACATATAAGAGTAAAGAAACTGAGATCACTGAGCCGGGTAACAGAGTGGATATATATATAAATATATTTATATACGTTTGGTGCGGCCGATTGCAACCAAAATACGAGGTGCACATCTACATGTTATAGCAGTCCTATATACAAAATTTCAACGTTCTGAGGCTACTCGTTTTTGAGCTATGCGAGATACGTACGTACGCACGTACGTACATACGTTCGTACAGACGCCACGAAAAATTCTCTTCAGAATTAATTTTAAAGCAGTTTTATAATTTTTTGGAAGAAATGAGTCTTTTATTCTGTCCTTACGTACAGATATCACGCGAAAGCATCGTTAAATTGCATTCGATAGCAGTCAAAATGGATATTTTCGTTGAAATATGCTGCCTGAAACTTTTCGCGATTACAAATACTTCCTTTTTACTTCGTACAAGGAAATAAAAAGCATGTTGAATACAGCATGAAACCCCCATTCCACTAATATAATATTGGATATATCATCAATGAATCTGGCAACTTTACAGATATTTTGTTTTACTTTTAGCATGCGCCATATAATGGAATGTTACCACCTGATGTTGTGCTTTAAGCTTTCAGTGTGCAAAAGTTTCTTGGACAATAAGCACCGTTGCTTTACTTTGAAAACACATTTTAGAACAGAAATTCAGTGTTATTCAGAACTGCTTTCCAAACGTGATTGAAGAGCTTAGAAGAGACTTTATCAACTAATTAAAGAAAATGTGATAGTCTTAAAATGTGTTGGAACCTCTCAGATTATTGACAGTGCGAGGCTACCTGAGAAACAAAGTCTGCAACTGTCGACAGTACGTCATACAAAGAAATGCTGGTAATTCAAAAATAGTGTTAGGTCTTTGCGGTGCTAAATCTCACTATATGAATAAAATATGCTAGATAGTTCATTGATCTATGTTGATTAAAACTGGTCCGTTCTAAATGCAAAGCAAATGTAATTTCTTTCAATAAAATACTAAGTTTATCAGTAATATAATTACTTTCACTTGACAAGCTATCCCGTTCAGTGAAGTAAACAGCTATCTGTCTCAACTTACTTTCTGAAATTATATTTTAGCATAGTGATTTATTAATTCTTCAGATAATTTGGAGCAATTACTTAATTTATTAATCTATTTAGCGTCTACTTTATACGGCAGAACATCGATCTTGCCTAAACTATTGTTTTTACATGTTAAGTTTGCTGGATATGCTCTGTGTGAATAATGTTATGCACCTCTGTATCCATCTAATGTCGAATAGTAGTTTTATTGATTTGATCGTTAGTAAATTTTGCCGCTTGCTCAATGTTTCTCGTATGGACTATTTTGCTGATTTTTTTCAAAGTACGTATTGATTATTTGCCTTTTATTTACTAGGAATTATAAATCTGATAACACAATAATTTAATAAAACTTTACTTATAGCCTTTATCGCTGTATTTAAGTTACTAACTCCATTCCCAAATTTGCATGTTGCAATAAGTTCATTTCTGTCAGTTTTCATTAGTGTATTCTTGTTTGTTATCAGATTTTTCAGAGCTAATTTTCAGCTTGGGCGAACTATAAGTAATTTATTATACTATAAGTATTTTATTTTTTTTTTAAAATTTATTTCAATTTATGCAAGAAGCCTTCTCGATTCCAGCCTCTAATCTATATAAGTATTAATTTATATTTTTCCTAATTTAAGATACGATTTCATTTTATATATCTGTGCATTTGTCAGTTAAAGAACAGACTTATCCTTTCACGTGTAAATGCCCTCGAGCTTTCACTCTCTCTCTGTATATATATATGTATATATTACGCGAGCGTTTGTGCGCACACAGGTACAAAAGCATAAAAATGAGAAAGTAATGATTCACAGCAGGAAACTTTTCTTGCACTCTTAGAAAGTTTATCGAACGTCTGGCGCTCTGGCGGATTCATTTGGCGAGCATTTCTCCTTGGCATCCTTTTGAAAGTAACTCGATCGGCAACCCGCTGAGAGACAAATTGTGTGGTATTCCAGCGACGGCTACAGTTTGTCAGATAGCAAGGAATCTGTGGCGGCACCCTTCCTGAACGCGGATGTCCGTCACAGCTTCGTTATAACAGCCTGACTCCAGGTGACACTGACAGATGGGGAGCATCGAGTTGGATACGAAGACCGCATCGTTTAATGCGCGAATGAAAACGCTCTTCGGAATAGGAAGAGTCTTAAAGGAAAAAAGTTAAGATAGTTTAGTATCTTTACAAAGTAATACCGCGTGCGCGAAACCACGTGCATTTCAGGCTTCAGAGTTTATGAGTGGTTGATGATTTGTTAATTTTGAAATCATTCCTCACCTAATTTTTAAGGGAATCAGGTGCTGAACTGAAACATTTATTTTGTATTCTTACGATTTATGAAAATGTCATTCCAATATTTATTTATAAAATTACAGTGAACTTTTTTTAATGCATTAATTTTGAAACTTGATGGAAGGACAAATTGAACGCTATATGCTAAAATAACTAATGCACAAAAATTAAGTTTATTAAATGCACATTTGCCGTTAATAAAGTGATTCGCTTGAATATAAATTAAGAACAATATTTGCCAAAATGAAAATTCGTTCTGGAAGGATAAAAAATATTCCCTGTGATTGTGCCGAACATGCTGCAGTTTTGTTTGCAATTATTGTTCTTCAAATAACTACAGGTAAGTTATTTATGTAATAGCCGTAGTCAAAATCAATTTCTTAAATAAATTAAATTTCGAAATATGTGAAATCACTCAAGGTTGTGATGCAGTTTAACAAAAAATTTGTTAATTTATAATATCGGTTTCATATAATTAAGAATTAATTATCCGCGAATTTCTTTTCATGTTCAAACCATAATTACTTTGATGTTAAGTGAGTATTATCATAATTATTAACCAAATTAGCTAGACTGTTTTACATTTAAAATGTAATGGTTAAGGGAAAAATACTTAAATCGTATTTTTCGTTCCTGATTCTCGTAGTGGAGTATTGTACACAGATGTTAGTAATTTTCATAAACAAAGGACGTTATATAAAATTCAGAGCATTTTTTTCCCTAAAATATTATGTGCAAAAACGAAATTATGGTTTCAGATATTATTACAAACCATGGAATAAATATTTAGTAGATAAGCAATTATTTTTCTCTCAGTACCAAGCTATAAAACTAATAGTATATGTCGCGCATTTGATAACTTGTTTCTTTCTAATGTCTCTCGTTTAAAATACTGAATCACAAGCATGTTCGAACAAGCTTTTAGCTTTAAATTCTTCCATTTTCTTGGACTCTTACTTCACTTTTCTCAGTAAGAATTCCTCTAAATAGAATGAAATCCATTTTGGCATTAGATAAAGTTTGTGTCTATTTATCGAAATTTATCGCACTTACTCAGAAGAAGAAAGACAGCATAATTTCAATATTAATACTTAACATTCAGTTTTTTCATTTCTAAAGTAAAATACTATATATATATATAAATACAAGCATATATATGTATCATTCTTTAAGTACAAAAGATTAGAGCCATATTAAAATTTAACAACCCATATGAGACTGTTTGTAGAATTTTTTGGATTTATTAAAATCAGATTTAAGTTAATGTACACTAAGCAAAGAAAGCAACGATACTTGAAATATAATTGTCGTGGGAAAATAACATATATTATTATCGCTTACGAACTAATGAAAGTTAACATATAACAAACATTAGGAACTGAGAGGAGAGTTCTGCCAGTGCCATTCCTGCAACTGGAAAAGGAATTTTTTAAACAGGTAATAATTTGTAATAGTTAAATTCTTAACCTTAACAGTTTTAGAAAAGTTTTCATAGTATGTATTTCTAAAATTCTAACTGTAATTCAAATTATATTTGAAATAGTAAAACCTTCCTCAGTAAAAAAAACAAATAATTTCAATATTGATATTTAGAATATGAGCTCTAATTGCAATTTTTATCAACATAAGATTTAAAATATTAGTAAAGTTAAAATGTAAGGACAATTTTAGTTTACTTTTATTAAATCTGTTAAATTCCACACATTTATGATGGATCTTAGTATAAAAACATTCATGTTAATTTTGTGCAGCCGAAACATTTCTCCAGTTTCATTTAATGATTTACATTTTAGAGGGATAAAAGTCTTAAATGTAAAAGTAATGTAAATGTATAGTCAAGAATAGTCAATGTAAAGAAAAAAGCAAAGTTGTGCATGAATAAACTACTATTATAATAGAAATTCCTTTAATTACAATTAAAAAATAAAATTTTAAAAATTTCCCACATTTAAAGCAAGTATAAAATTATTCGTAACAAAAACACTGATTATATACACATAAATTCACTTTTGGAAGCAATTTGTAGGACTAAGTGATATACAGATTATTACCATAAGTAACTAAAAATGCGATCTTTCTTTCATATAAGCTGCACATATGTAAACAAAGAGCAGAGCAATATAAGTGATTATTTTCATGAGGTAAAAAGTAACTTTTAAAAATATTTCATGTCAAAAGGTCTCCGTATATAGATTTGAACATAAACTTGATTGATTGTTATTCTTGAATCATATTATTACTGAAAATAAACATTATTGATTATCAATTATTATTATATAATTCACTCATACAAATTATTCAACCGGTGTACATGTCAGTACTGTAACTGTGATTTCATAGTTAGTTACAGTAATAAGGAATCATGTTTATAATTTAAATCATAAATTAAAAATCTTTGATGAATGAGTTTGCAACAGTTCTTAGAATCGGTAATTTGCCAAATTATGAATGTAAAGGATAGGAAGTAAAGCACGTTTTCGTAGCGCATCGGGAGGCACTGACTTAAAAGAAAGATGCCCTGAGCTCTTCTAGAGCCAAACTCTGATATATCAGTTATACATACTGGTAAATATTATGTCATTACGAATTTTAATACATATTCTCCACAACCAATTCCTGAAATCATCATGAGCTTTTTGAATTTTTAAACAAGGGGAAAAGTTTCTGCATATTGAAAACACAAATGTAAAAATGAATGAGACATGCCAGTCAGAGAGATATTCCCGATATATGAGGTATTGCTAAATTAAACAAGCACTACACAAGAAAAGAAATTTATGCTTAGTATTTTCTTTCGAAGATTTCAGTGCTTTGAATTTGCTTGAAATAGCAGGATGTAATAGCGAAAATGATGTTACTCATATGTGCCTGTGTCATTTACTTATTATATCCATGCCTATATAAAAAGGCACATACATATAAAGAAAAATGGAAAAACAAATACATGATTATGTCGTAATTAAATATTTCTAAAACTTTCTCAAAGGAAATTTTAGAAGTGTGAAGTTATAGATTTTTGCAAAGAAAACTATGTAGTGTAAATATTTTTGTAAAATAAATGTTTAATTTTAAACGTACATATTTTTTGAACCGAAAGTACTATGTGTACAAAAGATATGTATATTTATTGAATAATATAAATTTTAAAAAATTACTTATTCTTTCGTCTTAATTTCTTTTTTAAATAAGGCAAAAACTATTTCAGATTAAAAAGAAAAGTATTCATAAATGGGCTTTGCTTTTATAAGAAATTCTAGTCCAAGAACGGTATGACAAAATTAAATTAAGATTATGAAAAAATGATTGGTTTGTGTTTAATTTCTTACATATTGGTGAAGACATAATTTCTTTAACTTAAAAATTTTAATTAATTTTTAACTGAAAAAGTTATTGTTCGAAATCAGCTCATATTTAAAAAATATTATATAAAAATCTATAAGTGCAAAAGAACCGATATTCACTCCGTTACTTATATATTTTCTGTGTTTTATAATACATATTTCCAATCTTGCGGAAAACATCTTACGTTTGTATCGCAAAATATAATTTTTCTGTTATTCCTTTTTAGCAGACATAGATTTGTCAATAATGAAATCACAGTTTATTCTATAATAAATTTTGCAAGAGCTAGAAAAATGCTTTAACAACCTTTATTTTGACAACCCTCTGTCATAGATATGTATTTCCAGTTACAAAAATGTTTAAAATGACGCAAACATTCATGTTTTGGCATTTTTAAAATTAAAATAAATGTGAAACTTATAAATTTACCTTTTAATACGATCTGTCGCTCCCTGTACTTATATTTAGGAAAATTTTATTATCAAATATAAAGCTCAAAAAGTTTGATGAAAACATTTAATTTCAAAATTAGCATATTTGATGTCATTTCTAACTTGTCTTCAGGAAGAAGGTAACAAATGAATTGTCATTTTGTGATTTGCTCCTGTGAAATATTCTTATTGAATAATTTTGTTTTCAAAGGTATGCCGAAAGATTTTTCACACAAGTAATTTTTTAATTTTCAAAAAATAAAAATGTACTATAAACATTATCATAAAACTACATTACTTTAGAATCATAATATAATAAACATGCAAAAATTATGAACCTAGAAATATTTTTAATTCCTCCATATAATATTATAAGTTAGCTAATTGGCAACACTGAAACCTGCCAATGTTTTTTATAACACGGATTCTATAGGATTTCGCAGATAAAGGTATCTTTGTTAAAAATATTTATGTTGACACACTTGAATATTGTCATCGTATGATATCTTGTATTTAATTTCTTGTATTATTCTTGTAATTTCTTGTCCAAATATCTTGTATTTAATTTCTTATAATGAGCTATCCTATTTTTAGAAACATAAGTCTAGCAATAAGAAAAATGTATAAAAAATTAGATTTTATAATTTTTATAAAACTGATTTTTAAATTTAAAATGGTCTAGATGTGAATATTTGAGAGATTTAACTTCTTATAACTAAATGTATATGCCAACGACCCACGGTTACGAAAGTAAAAGTTATGTACTCATTTTTGTGTACGCGATGTATAACTGAAAGTGAAATGAATGAGGAAAAGAGTACGTGATACTTCAGTATAGAAAGAAAATTTTATTTATATGAAAAGACTAAGATTTTGTGTTGCTTAAAACATACAAATATAGATCCGCAGTAAAATAAGCAGTATCATATGAAGCAAATGAAAATGAATCTGTTGAAGTAAGACAAGGAAAAATAAAACTTTATATCGCTAAAAACAAAAAGCTTTGAACTGATGAAATCTGTTCTTTTTTAAACATAAGAATGTTTATTCATTGAAAGTTGAAGGTATACAACTTCAAATCAAATTTTCCATTTATAATTTAAAAACTTAGCACATCAATAAAATACTGAGCTCATTGTAGAAAATTCAAAACTAATGAGAGAGTGAATTCTCAACAAATAAAATCTTTTTCTCAACAACCTCCGACTGACCATGTAATTAATACTATTCAGCTAATACTTTAATTCCTCTGTTTGTTTGGATATGCTTTTAGTAATATGTTTATGAATAAAAATAAAAACATAATGAGAAATATGCCGTGTTTTAAAAATAAAATGTCGTTTTACAACATTTCTGAATGTTGCGACTGTTTGGCGCCCAGCCTGATGTAAATTTATCCGCAGCATATAGTAATGAGGTTAAGAAAAAGAATTCAGCACTAATAACAGCAAAAGCGTGTGATATGTATGCCCAGATTTGATTAACCTATAGCAATTTGATCAATCTCTCAAGCATACAAAACAATTTTGAAATTAAGTGATGAGTTTTTTAAAAATTATTTCTTTGT